ATCACTGCCTAGTCTCTGGAGTACTTCGAGTTCATGAATTGACTGTTCTGTGTTTAGTCATAGCCCTTGTCCTCCATTTCCTCTTAACTATCCTGACTCTAAATCTAAATTTGGTTTACAAAAATCTACAGGCATTAGATGTTATCTTAATACTGACTGTTGAATAAATCTAGTTCTGCTTTTTACAGCAATGTTTATTCAACTGATTTCATCTTTTTATTTATCCTGACCTAAACAGCATTTACTGTAGCAAGAGTTTTTGATGAGTTAAATTTAAAAATGTGAGTTTAAGTTACAGTGTCAGCTCAGCTACTTTTTGTTGTTATTTATTTTTATTATTTTTTTATTATTATCTGTGTACATATACCATTGCCCCCCCCCCCCATACATGCCCTCCCTCCCCAGAGTTTTGTGTCCATTGGTTGTACTTATATGCATGTATACAAGTTCTTCGGTTGATCTCTTTTATCTTCCCCAGATCTCCCTAACCTCCCCGCTGTAATTTGACAGTCTGCTTGTTGCTTTACCGTCTCTACATCTATCTTTTGGTTCATCAGTTTATAATGTTCTTTATTATCCATAAATGAGTGAGGTCATGTGGTGTTTCTCTTTCATTGACTGGCTTATTTCACTCAGCATGATATTCTCCAATTCCATCCAGGTTGCTGCAAATGATGAGAATTCCTTCTTTTTTATGGCAGCATAATATTCCATTGTGTAGATGTACCATAGTTTTTGATCCAATCATCTGCTGATGGGCACCTAGGCTGTTTCCAAATCCTAGCTATTCTAAATTGTGCTGCTATGAACATAGGGGTGCATATATCCTTTTTTTTTTTTTTAATATATTTTTATTGATTTTTGTACAGAGAGGAAGGGAGAGAGATAGAGAGTTAGAAACATCAATGAGAGAGAGTCATCGATCAGCTGCCTCTTGCACACCCCCCACTGGGGATATGCCCGCAACCAAGGTACATGCCCTTGACCGGAATCGAACCCGGGGCCCTTCAGTCCCCAAGCCGACGCTCTATCCATTGAGCCAAACTGGTCCCGAATATATCCTTTCTTATTGGTGTTTCTGGTTTCTTAGGATATATTCCTAGGAGTGGGATTACTGGGTCAAATGGGAGTTCCATTTTCAGTTCTTTGAGGAAACTCCATACTGTTTTCCATAGTGGTTGCACCAGTATGCATTCCCACCAGCAGTGCATGAGGGTTCCTTTTTCTTCATCTGAGTTTAAGAGTAGCCATTGGAAGGTTTTAAGCAGAGGGATGATCTAATTTAGCTTTTAACAAGATCGTGTTTTTTTTAACCGGTTTCGGCTTAACAAGATAGTTTTCACTGCTGTGTTGAGGGCAGTGAAGGGAGCCAATAATGGAAGCAGACCAGTATTTGTGGGCTATTGTAAAAGTCCAGGAGATGGAAGTGATTTGGATAAGATGGTAGCAGTAGAAAAATTTTAATATAATTTTCAAAATCTTTTATTGATTTTAGAGAGAGAGGAAAGGAGAGAAACATTGATGTGAGAGAGAAGCATTAATTGGTTGCCTCCCATATACGTTCCCGAACTGCAACCAAAGTATGTGCCCTGACCAGGAATCAAGCCCTCTTTGGTGCATAGGACGAAGTTTCAACCAACTGAGCAACCTACTTGAGGCTAGGTATAATTTAAGATAGCGCAGCCGAAACCGGTTTGACTCAGTGGATAGAGCGTCAGCCTGCGGACTGAAAGGTCTCAGGTTTGATTCCAGTCAAGGGCATGTACCTTGGTTGTGGGCACATCCCCAGTAGGGGGTGTGCAAGAGGCAACTGATCGATGATTCTCTCTCATCGATGTTTCTAACTTTCTATCCCTTTCTCTTCCTCTCTGTAAAAAATTAATATCAATAAAATATATATTAAAAAAAATAGCACAAACTACATTTGCTGACAAATGTGGGATGTGTGGGAAATAAAAAATAAAAGAGAGAGAAGGATTATTTCTCACAGTTTTAGTCTGAGCAACTGATAGAAATGAGTGCTCCTTAACTTAGATGGGAAGACTCTGGAAAGAAATATTTTTTAAAATATATTTTATTGATTTTTTTTTATAGAGAAAAAGGGAAAGGGATAGAGAGTTAGAAACATTGATGAGAGAGAAACATTGATCAGCTATCTCCTACACAAGTTCTACTGAGGATGTCCCTATAACCAAGGTATATGCCCTTGACTGCAATCGAATCTAGGACCCTTCAGTCTGCAGGCTGATGCTCTATCCATTGAGCCAAACCGTTCAGGGCTGGGAAGAAATATTTTAAAGGTCTAAGATCAGGATTTGTTAAACTTGAGATACCCTTCAAGTGGAGATGGCACAAAGAACTAACCACTGCATATAACATTACAAGGTCTTTGGAGAACTTGAGTAAAGCAGTTCCAGTTAAGTGGTAGGAGCAAGAGCATGATTGGAGTGTGGTCAAGAGAGAATTAGGAGAGAGAGCTGGGAGACAGAAAATAGAGACTTTTTCTTTTTTAAAGATGGAAGAAATAAAAGCATGTCTATGCTGATAAAAAGATCTTTGCTTTTCCAGCGATGGACCTAGCCCAATGGTTCCCTACCTTTTTTTGGCCATTCCCCACCTAAACATCTCTAAAATCCTGATGCACCCCGGGTCCTGTGACATATAATTCTTATTATTCAAAAATTGAACTCCTATTCTCGTGGAGGAAGCCTAAGAGGCCATTAACTTGGTCTAAAGAACCTTCTAAAGAACAAGCTTCCAAAGAGCATGGCATCCATGAAAGAGAAATAAAAGAATGAAAGAGTTGAAATACTGAGGAAGAAATTACTAAGAAATTGTTGAAAAAAAAAAGAATATGAAGTGATATGAAAAAATAGCAAGTAAAGTTTCAAAAACAAAATAGAGAGCTGAAATGCATAATATGTCACAATATTTTTCCCTACTGTATCTGAGTCCCCCAAAACCATAAGAAATGCAAAAAATTCAGTTAATAACTCATTCTCGAATTGCCCCCCTTCAAAATCACATTGTCCCCATGTGGGGCATGTGCCCCATGTTGGGAACCACTCACCTCGCCTTTTCTCCCCAACTCCCTTTTTTGGACTTCAATTTTGGATATTTTCTATTTCTTGGAACCCCAACTTTGAGGAGTGTTTTAATAGGACATCTGAACTCATGTGGTGCTGAGGATTGTGAAAATAAACATTTCACATGTGGAATTCTCTTCCTCCCCAACTGTTGGTTCCCACTGCTTGGAAGAATATAACACCTTTTAGATGTGGCCAGGAGTCCTTAGACTGAGTAGAATTACATTTCTCTAATTTAATTACTATTGGGTGGCTTTTCATACTTGTCATTTGGTGCTCAATCCCAACCCCACAGATAGCTACCTTCCTCAGTTTCTTCATGACGATGGGTTCTTTACTGATCTTCAAAGAATGGCAATGACCCATGAAGCCTGAAAAACGCACTGTGAAGCCTGTGGTGGTCACTCGGCTGTTCACAGATATTTCTCCTGTTCTGGGCAGGTGGCAGGAGGGCCACAGATACGGCCATGTGATCTGCCCTGGCCAATGAAATGTGAGCTAAGTGATGTGCCATTTCCCAGCAAAACCTTTAAGAACAGGTGGGCAGCCTGCCACATTTCCTAGGCTGTCAGCAATTACGGAAGCGAGTGTGAAATGAAGCCTCTGTCAGCCAGGGCCTGAGCTGTCGCCATGAGCGGAGCCCCCTGCAAACCCTGGGTAGACTTCTAGTATGAGAAATGAACTTTTAATTTTGTTAGCTTTATCTTGGGATGGCAAAACTCAACTATTCTGACACAGTGCCCAAGGACAAAAATAAGATGAACAGTGGTGTTCCAGCTCCATTACAACCAATAGATGACTCACTTCAGGATATAAAGGTTTTACTTTCCCATCCCAGGAGCAAAGAAAATTCAATCAATAACACAGGTAATAAAACTTTACCTCTTCGTCAGGTCTCCATTAAATAAAAAACGATTGAACCTTTAAAATGTTAACATTAAAAAAATATATTTCTCTCTTAACCAGAAGGAGAACGTTTTTCCTTTAGGAGGCTTAGCGAGACTACCAAAAGCATAGTCTAATGTATTTCAAACTCTGTTCTCTGGAGGCCAACTGGGTTAGATCCTCCAGGACTACTCATTCCAAAGGCAGAGTCCCTCGTCCTCTCTCTGCTTTTTGGAAGAAAGCCGAGGCTCTTAACTCCCCGGAGGTAATTTTTATCTTTGTTTATGTGTGTGGTATAATTCAAAAATATATTTGGTCTTTGTCCTCAGTTCCTGCTGCAGAGCTGCTAAGACCCATGGAATTTCCTGATAGGATGTGTTATTGTTATTCATAATGAGCCCTTGAGTTTATGCTAATGAGGGAGGCCTCTTAGGATGGGGCTCCGAGTTAGCCTTAGGATGGAGCTGGTAAACTGAAAGCCTGAGCGATTAGATCTCCGGACCAGCCTCCAGGAACACTGACATCTATGAAATTGAACTCTGAGATTCGGAAAGCTTTTGGGTTGGTGAGCATTTAGAAATGCTGGGAGGTTGGCATGCCCCCAAATCCCTCCTTCCCCTTTCCGGGCCCAATGGAAGTTAAGTATTTTCTTGAGTTCTGTGAACCATTCTAGCAAAAAATTATCTAACTTAAGTGAAGGGAGTGGTGGAAACTACCCAACTTTATAACCAAGTTGGATGGGAGAAGGGGTAACCTGGGACCCAGTACTAGCAGCTGGCATCTGAAGTGAGGGCAGCCTTGTGAATGTCTTAAACCATGGGGTCTAACAGGGACCTTGGGGGTTAGTGTCAGAAGTGAAGTGAATTACAGGACATCCAGTTGGTGTCCAGAAAATCAGAGGATTGGTTGTTGCTGTTGGAAAACACCCTGAAAAGGTGTTACCAATATAACACGGAAGTTCATTTCCACATACTGTCTTATTGGGTTTACATGTGCTTCAATATTAGAGATAGTGTAAGAGACAAATGGCAATTCGCATAAAAATTTTATTTAGTGGTCAGATCCCAACAAATAATGTCAGTCATTGCTTGATTCCGCTAAAATGTGCTATAGAAGATATGTTCATAAGAAAGTGTACAGTTCATCAACAAAAGCTGTTTAATTTGGGTTGTATAGAGTAACAGAGAAGTTCATAAACCTTTGTTCTCTGATAAAAATTTTAAAATATAAAAATGAAAACAACAACAACAACAACAACAACACACCAAAAGCAGTATTTTAGAATGATAAATGTCACCTTGGACTATTTACAGTAAGATACCGTTGTAATAGAATATTCTCTGCTTGATTATTTTCCTCACAAGTATTCTCACTCCTATCATTCGCGTCTTCCTAGAAATAATCATCCTCCATTCTCTCGCTCCTCTTTCTCTGATACTTCTTTTCCCCACTCTTAAATGACCCATAATTCTGTTCCACAGACATTTGGTGAGCACCTATTGTGTGCCAGGCACTGTGTAGGAGGTGGAGATATACACAGAGATGAAAAGTCATTGACACCCCCCGCTCCTCAAAAAGCTGAGTTTAGGTTGAATTAAAAAAAAAAAAAAGTTTTCACATTGTATTCCACGAAATCCCAAGCCCCTATAAAGTAAATTTGGGGATTTCTTGAAACAAGAAGGGAGGGTCTGTCAACGTGGTCTATGTCCAATTCTATTCTTTTCTATGAAACACAGCCTCAAAAGACCAGGCCTACAGTTTGAGTTCCACACTCTTAGCAGGTGGGGCTACCTGTCAGGCATCAGGGGACAGCTGTGCCAATTTGTAGGGGGGAGGAGGGAGAGATAATCTTTTAATTGGCTTCTTATAAAAGCCCTTCCCCACCACCCCCAATACAAAATCTGACTCCTAGCACATAGGAAGCAGCGCTCCCCTGACTTGGACTTACAACAAGATGCTGGGAAACTCCCGTCTTTCATGAATGGCCAGCAGGAGCTCTCTCATGACCTCCACACGCTTCTTTGTGCTTTTCTGTGAACACATTCTTAGCTTCAAACATGAAAGCAGCACATGAAGCCTGCAGGTCACCTCCTTGGGTTTTTTTCCTTTTATCATGATTGAAACCAAAACAAGCTCATCTCTTGCTTCTGGCCTACGTCTTTGTCCATGAAACCTCCAGAGACCCTTGGTAGTTATTTTTAAAAAAAGAAGGCAAGCCATGAACTAGAAAACAAAAATGACAGACAGCATACTCTAGAAGCAACAAGGAAAGCACACCCTCATCGGCCCATCCTGTTCCATGCCGAGCAGACCGCACACGTTCACATTTGGAAATGTTTCTTGGTCACAGTAACGTCCGAATTACGATGGTGGGCTTCACCCTCACAGTTTGTAGCGAATTCCTCTTTTGCTGAATCCTCACAGCCACCCATTGAACAGGGATGGGTTTTTGTGGCGAAGTTATAGCCTCACAGGTTACCCAGAGTCATTCTCTGTACAGCCTCCATCCAATGAGACGACACACTGTGCATTCAAGAGCGTCAGTGCCAGGTTCAGAACCCCCTCAGGCGCTGGTCCCAAGCCCTTGGGAGCTGAAGGCAACTTGGGGAGTTGGCATTATTCCCATGATACATTTGGCCTGCTCTACCCTACGGTAGGGTGATCGCAATGTGTGAAACATGAGGAGGGTGAAGAGCCGGGAGTACTGGGGGAGAGGGAGAATATCGGTGATCATACGCAAACTTCTTGCTCTGTCGTGCATATATTTTCAGTGTGGCAGCGTGTGTTTTGACATGTAAAGGGCTTGTGCTTTTTTTGTTACAGAAAATAACTCGCCCCGAAAAGCTCATTTGGCAAATGTGGCCATGAACTCGTGTGTGTGTGTGTGTGTGTGTGTGTGTGTGTGTAAACTGTGTCATGAGGTGATGTGTCAAGTCCAGTGGGTGTGCCCTCCAGGCCCCTCTTCCACTGTCACACCCAGCTCACCAGCAAGGAAAAACTGATGGGTTACACCTGGTCAGTTTGATATTCAGAAGCTTCGGACAGGCTTTCTGAGAAGCTCAGGAAATTCTCCTGGTACTCAGAACAAACAATCTCGTAACGGTAATGCCGGAACTCCACGGCGAAGGTGCCAAAGTAGGACAGGAAGCACATGACCAGGCCCCACTGGACCCGGGCTGCGTACATGTGGATGCCCTGGGCCATGAGGATGAAGTCTGGGGAGGGACAGTCAAGGAAAGTACTTCTATCAGCCACGTGAACACCAGGCTCTTTTACATGTTACAGGAAAGGCTTGGCTCTGCCCCTCACCAGCAAGAGTTAGCTTGACAGAGCACCTGACACGGACATCTACAGGAACAATGTTTGATCACATTATTGAGCGCTTAACTTTGTGCAGAAATGCTTCTAGGTGCTTTTATGGGAAATCTAACTTACAATCCTCCTAACAACCCCATTGACATCATTAGTTCATTGGTGTGCCTCAGGGGGTTGAGCGTTGTTCTGTGCACCGGAAGGTTGCCGGTTCGATTCCCTATCAGAGCACATGCCCAAGCGCATAGGGGAGGCAGCCAATTGATGTTTCTCATATCAATGTTTCTCTCTTTCCCTTGCTCTCTAAGATCAATAAAATCATATTTTTTTAAAAATAGGGAAACTAAAAATTAGTAAGAAATAGGGAAACTGAAGCCAAATGGGTAATTTGCCCAAGGTCACACAGGATGTAACCGGTGGACTCAGGATTCAAACACAAGCACTCTGACCCCCAGGCCTTGCATTCAACCACTATACTCCATGGCTGCCTAACAAACTGTGAGATTAGCAAGAGTCACAATACCAAAATAAGTAGTTGGCCAGAAAAATAAAGTTATTTTTTTAAAAATCACTGCAAATGACTGTGGATGCATCGTCATCGTTCTATCTGCAGAAACCATTTTGAACATATCAAATGGCTAATTACCTCCATACAAGCTGCATTTTCTCTGCAGTACTAATAATGTCTGAGTGGTCCCTCTTCCTTTCCTGTCTAGTTTTCACTATCGTATTTCAGACAATACTGTATAGGTTAGTTTCATTCATTCATGGTGTCACATTTAAAATTGTACCTAAGTGAAAATAATTTAAAAAACACACAGGTAAGGTTCCTGTGCCTGAATATACATGGAGTACTATGTGTGTTGAGAAAGACTTAGTGAGAGGCAGAGAGGTCAAGTGAACCTCTAAATAACTATTTAGAAAAATCAGTAATACCCCCTTAGAATTAGTTCTATACTAAGAACTTAGACTTAAGATCTTGGGAAAGTTTCAGCCAAGCTTTGCTCTCCAGATTAGACCTGGATCCATTCACCTGGGAACCAAGAAATGGCTCCACTTGTTCAGAAATAACATGGATCAGAATCACTTGGAATAAGCTCATACACTCAGAATAATTTAAAGTCTGTACATACTCTTCTGATTAAGGGTTCAAAATATTGCCAAAGCAGTAGTATTACTTTGGTTAATGGAGAAGGAAGAATCTTCAAATCTCATACTGGCAGAGTTCTGACCTTTTCACTCAAAAAATATTCTATTAGGTTGCTAACAATAAAGTTTTTTGGCTTGATTTTCAAATCCTTAAATGTTCTCTAATGCAACAGCAGAACTTCAAAAGAAAAACCAACCAAACAATAAAGGACTTAATGGTGATTTGTGAAGGAAGAAGAAATAAAAGACTTCAAATACTCTACTACCTAAAGAGCATCACTAAACACTACATCTTTTTATATTTTAAAGCTACGTTCTCTGAGGTGAGGTCATGTATTGAACTAAGCCTGACTTTAAATCAAGATCACCACATACTGTGTGATCCTGGGTAAATTGACCTCGGTGCTTCACTAGTCTTACCTATGAAGATTGAGGATGTCAAACTCGAAGCCCGCGGTCCACAACTAATATTTTTGCAACCCGGTCAATATAATGGTATGTAAGAAACGTTTTAACAAAAAATTTGTAACTTAATTTTTACAATATCCTGTTATACATAACCCCAATATATAAAAACCCTGGGTCGTAACAACCAGTAACGACTGGAGGCTGACCAACGTTGAGGCCTAGTGCTGGCCCCACCGCCAAGCAAGAGGTAAGGGGCAATCAGGCAGGCAGGCAGAATGGTTAAGAGTGATCAGGTAAGCAGGCAGGTGGTTAGGGGAGATCAGGTAGGCATACGGCCCCTCAATGGGCTGGCCCCGCCCCCAACAAAGAAAGAGGAAAGCCTAGGCCAGGTAAGCCATTGCACCCGAGCCTGTCACCTGCAGAGGGAGGCCACTGGTGGCAGGGGGCAGTACTGCACAGATGGCAAGCAGTGGCAGCAGTGGGGGTGGGACCAGCTGCCTGCAGACCGGGGAAGGAAAGGCCCGATGGGCCCTGATCTCAGGCCAGGCCTAGGGACCCTACCTGAGGAGTCCTGGACTGTGAGAAGGTGCAGGCTGGGCTGAGGGACCCCCTCTAGTTATTAATAACGAACTACAACATTCACGAATGACTGATTACTATAATCGTGTTGCATTCATTTCCCTCATGTGCAGGCGCACCATTTCTCTCACTAATAATAGCAGTGAATATTTTTGCAGCCAATCGTCACATAATTAGTCTTGTACTGACTTGTTTGGTGTGCGCAACAGGAAATATTTTGCTTTTGGAGAACAAGAAAATAGGTTTATTTGCGTGATGCTTATTAATTTATGTAATTATTCAGTGTCTGGTAAGTTAATGTTCAAGAAAAAAAATACTCATTTTTATTAAAATGTTCTATTATTTTATGTTAAATTAAATGAAATTTTTTCAAGATAGAGGGGGGAAAAATCACAATTCTCTTTTAGTTAATCATTCTATATTTCTCACAAAGGAAAACTTACTTCATTAGTAATTAGCAGAGTGCATGACACCATGTCCACAGAGTGAAACAATCTTGAAATGGCAGAACTTATTTTTATTTTCCGTTCTCCTCTTTGGCATGAGAGTTTTTTTTAAAACCCATTTTCTTTTCTGTTTTATCCGCTATAAGATTCTGAAATGATTTATCTATATCCTAACCAACCCCGGGATGGCAATTTTCTCAGTTATCTGTATTTTAATCTCAGAGGCAAAGAGACTTTTCACATTCAAAGGATACAGAGGACCACACAGAGAGTGATCAATGCTGATAGGATAACTCGTGGGATTCCAACTTTGCGTCCTTCGTTCTTGATGTTGACTTTGAGTGTCAATGCAGCCTGGATCCAGCATGTCAACGTGCCAAATCCAAAGGTCAAGGAGGTGCCAACGTTATGGATTTCTTCGTCATTCGTGAGCTAAGGGATGAACAGATAAGAACGTGTGGAGGCCCATTCAGAAACACCATAGAAGCCAATGGAATAAGTTGGGGGGTGGGGTGAGGGAAATAGTGACAGGCCAACAATGAAATGATGACTTTTAGAAAAGATTAGAGTCCTTCATCTCCACTGGCTCCTCGGGTCAGTTCTCAGTTGGTTCGAACTCTGAGGGGAAGAAAAAAATAAATAGTATCTACGAACCTCAAAACTTTTGTTTGAAAAAAACATACAAGGCAGTGCTAATCTAGTTCTTGAATTTATTTTCCAGAAAAGCTTTGTAAAAAAGTAAAAGAAAAAGGCAGAAAAGTTATACCCCCAAAATAGAGAAATGTCAAAGTTTCTACAAACACACACCCCAAACTTCTTTTTTTGGACTAAGAAATAAGACCTGGGATCTGTCTGTGTGTTTACTGATTGAGGGGAGCCCATGCTGAAGAGGTCACTCTTGCACTGGCATAGACTACTAGTAACACCCAGGCTGTGCATTACTCCTGCAAAACTGGCCTGTCCATATAGAGTGAACACTTCCCTGTTAATGGGGTTTGTTTTGTTTTCCTGTTCTAATAAAACTGCTTCTGAGCTTTTGCCATATCTGTAGACCCATTAAAGGACAACAGTGTTTGAAGATTCGTGGCCACGGCATTTACAGAGCTAATGGGTTAAAGGAGACTCATTTGAGTTATTTCCATTGGGTATTAGAGATGTAAACTCCCTAAATCATCATCCACTGATTTGAAACAGTCATCTGTCACTTAAAGCACCTTTAGTAATTACATATATTTTAAAATACATATTTAGGAAAATAAAATCTATTCTGAAGAGGTGTTTTTTTAAAAAATATATATTTTATTGATCTTTTTACAGAGAAGAAGGGAGAGAGCTAGAGAGCCAGAAACGTCGATGAGAGAGTAACATCAACCAGCTGCCTCTTGCACACCCCCTACTGGGGATGTACCTGCAACCAATGTACATGCCCTTGACCGGAATCGAACCTGGGACCTTTCAGTCTGCAGACCGACACTCTACCACTGAGCCAAACCGGTTTCGGCTGAAGAGGTGGTTTTTAAAACATGGTGAAAGCCCTGGCCAATAGCTCAACTGGTTAGAGCATCATCCTGCTTCAAGGTTATGGGTTCGATTCCTGGTCAGGGCACATACAAGAGGCAACCAATGAATGCATGAATAAGTGGAACAACAATCAATGTTTCTCTCTCCCTCTCCCCTTCTCTTCCCCTGCCCCATCGAAAATAAAAAAGTTTTTTTAAGTTTGAAAAAAATGTTTAATACATGGTGAAAATCTTTCTTTGATTTACCATTGCTTTCAGATGTTTTAGTATTTGACATTGCTGTTATCCAATCAATATTACTTTCCTTTTATAAATTTTTCTTTTTTTTCTGTATGATTTTACCCTCTTCTTTGGAAGAGGCCACTTTTTTCTCTCATAGTTAAAAAGACATATTTTTAAAACTTATTTTAAAAAATGATTCCTCAAGTCCATTTTTACTTCTAGGAAATTGGTTTTTTAAACTCCATTTATTATTTCAACCTAATTTAAAAAAAATAGATACTATAGTTACATGTTTCAAACATTAAAAAATTATAAAAAGTGGAGATTGAAGTCTGTTTCCCATCCCACATACTAGCCACCTGGTTTTTCCATGGGCTACTCATTTGTTATTTGTTTCCTGTGTATCCTATATTCTAGAAAGTGTTTTTCATATGTAGCATCATCATGCATGGCTTTGGCCAACACAACCTCATCTCTGGGTTTCTCCTAGGACTTTAGTAAAAAGCAAAACGTCTACTCATTAACTTCCATCCAAGTCCTGGTTGAGATAAATGATTGGGCCCTTTTCAACATGCCAGCACCTGCAGCCCAGACAAAATCTCGATAAAAATGCCCTGTGCCCTAACATTTTGGAGTTGGATAGGATAAACTCTCCAAAATCTCCTGATAATTCATTGTCCTATGGATATAGCTTCTTGTTGTCCAGCTTGTCAGGGGATGAGACCTAGCATAGTTAGAGGAATTGGTGGACTTGCCTATCTGTCAAAAAGTCCCCGTTTAATGAATCATCAGGACTGAGGGTCAGGACAAGAGACATTCTGAGAATTTACTGCCATGTTTTCTTGGATGTCTATGCCATTTGGACTTCACTCAACAGAAAGGGGAGATGTGTCCAGCATCAGGTGTTTGACGACAAGCGGTAAGTGTCTAGCAGCAGTATACAGCGCAGGCGGGAGGGCGCTGGGAGGGAGGGAGGCAGGGAAATCAGACAACTATCACAACACCGCAGCAGTCTCCTTGTCTGATTTACAAAGGAAGTCATGCAGATCAAGGGTTGGGTGATGGCATTGGCGAGAGAAATTATTCTTAAATGTGATGACCTTGGGCTTCCAAATTTCTGGAAAGAGGGGTTAGTGTCTCTTTATACAAGTCGTAGGTGTTCTAGAGAAATCCTGGGTTTTCAACTTGAGCTTGCTCATCTGAAATGCAAGCTTTCATCCTAAAAGGGTGCTCAGTGTTTAATCATAGAAAGGCAGTGATCCTATTAGTCTTATAGAAAGGTACATTAGGATACAATTTGTGATGAAAGAAAGTATAAAGCACTTGGAAATCTTTTGTAGAAAATGTACAGCGGTTTTTGTAGTTGCTTTTCCCAGCAGCTGTGCTGTATTTCCAACGAACAGTGAGCACCTTCCAGTGTGGATGCAGAGTTAGGCAGGCCAGGCTGAGAGACCACACAGGCTGACTGCCAGAGAACCTGTGCATGCTAGGAACCACTATTAGTAATGTTTGGAAAGATTCGTGCAGAATAATATGGGCCACATAGTGAATGCCCCTCAGCGGCTGTGATGATCACATAGGACAAGTGTGAGATGGAGGTGAAAAAGGCCAAATGAAGTACCTGAAAATTACCAAGTAAGGTCATTCCAAAGGAAGACAGACACAGGGCCACCAATCCACTAATATTCAGCCACGGGTTTAAAACCTTTGGTTTCAGTTGTATGAAGCGCAGAACAGCTACCACAAGAGCTAGGGAATAAAAGAAAGTGTTAACGTAGGAAAACTGAAGTCAGACACTCAAGACGATGAGGCAGAGTTCCAAAGCAAAGTTAAACTTTTCACCACAGTGCGTTTTTAAACCTCTGAGATGGCAATTTTTAAAAAAATTTTCATGCACTGGGCCACTAGTACTTCCATATTTATACAAAAAGCTGAGAGAGATTAGTTACGAATGATAAAAAAGACACTTGCAATTAATGTAAATTATCTATACATATAAAAGCCTAAGCAACCAGGCGACCGTCCAGTAGCTATGACATGCACTGACCACCAGGGGGAAGACACTCAATGCAGGAGCTGCCCCCTGGTGGTCAGTGTGCTCCCACAGCAGGAGCACTCCTCAGCTAACAGGTGCCAGATGCTGGCTCATGGCTGGCCAGCGCAGCTGAGCTCCGCAAGCCTCTTCTGTGGACACTTTCCCTGCACACCTGAGTGGCAGTGGGCCGGGATGAGTGGGAATGGCGTGGCAGCCAGCCTGGGTTCAGCTCCTCCCCAGCTGCTTGCCGTTTCCCACACTATTCCGTGCTGTGCAGGATTGATGCGGACAGTGGGCTGGAGCCCAACGAGCTGGTGAATAAGGCCAGGCTGCGGAAGTTCACTGATCCATGCACCGGGCCTCTAGAATCTACATAAAAGGAAATGCACTTATAATGTCCTAAAACAATTTCTTTTGACATTAAGGTTTAGCAGGGAAGACAATTAGAAATTTAAGAATTACCCTATTTACACAGCAATTAAGTAGGTAATTACATGCTAAAGGTTTTACAGCAATCACAGGCCATTATTAGTAGCCATTAAGAAAGAAAACACATCCATAAATTTGCATTTCCAAGGATGCTAAATTTCATAGTTTCAAGCTACAAAGTTAAGCTCAGTGTGTTGGCATTCACTCTCAAGTACCTCTGATCAAAGAGTGGTCTACAACTTGGACAGTATTGGATTTGGGAAACAAAATAGAAATAAATCAAAACTTGTGCAATCTCAAATTTCTCTTCTGATTTAGTTCTTAGTATATTCATGTTTTAGCTAATGCCCCTATTGATTATAATATTAATAAATTTCCAACCTCCTTGTTTGAGGAACCTAGTGAGGAGTTATATTATATTAGAAGTCCATTTTTAAAAAAATATATATTTTTTATGTATTTCAGAGAGGAAGGGAGAGGGAGAGAGAGGTAGAAATATCAATGATGAGAAAGAATCATTGATTGGCTGCCTCCTGCACACCACCTACTGGGGATCGAGCTTGCAACCTAGGCATGTGCCCCAACCAGGAATTGAACTGTGACCTCCTGGTTCATAGGTTGACAGTCAACCACTGAGCCACACTGGCTGGGCAGAAGTCTATTAATAATGACAATAACTACCCTAGAGGATAAAAAACAAATAGTGCAACTTACTGCTTTTTAGGATGGGAATAGGAGGAGGAAATGGGGAGAGAAGAAATTCAACATAAGCACTCTGACACAAAGTGGCCATCAGACAAAGAAGAATCAATCCAGAAACCCAAACACAGGGCACCATGGGAGACATGTGCTAAGTAATCACGTGTGGAGACTGGTCAGGGCATAGGACAAAATACCAAGCTAGCACATTTCATTTCTCCTGGTGATGACTGGTGGGAAGTATCGCTCTGCGAGCTCTCTGGTTGCCAGGTAGTTTGGAAGAGGATCGGGCTGGAACTTGGGCCTAAGCACTAAACTGCTACAGACATCGACCCTTCCAGACAGTCTGTTCCACTGTGTCCAGAAGAAGAGTCGAGGGCCATTCTCTGCTTTGCCCATTTCTCTCCAATAAAATTGGGACATGTATCCTGTCTCTTGGTCCCAGCATTGCTGGCCTTCCCGTAGGGATGATAAAGGTCATTTTTATCATGAACAGACGATGACATTAAGCAGGAAACAGAAACCTACTTGAAGACAAACTCAACCCAACACTCTGAACTTCCAGAATTGCATTCTCAACCCACACTTCGCCCTTTTAACCTATCGATTCCATTGTTAATCCTCTCAGACTGGGTATAATTTCCTTTTAAAAGAGACTCTAGTTGAATTTTAGGGTGATGGGAATACTTAGGCTTAAAGGAAAGCCGACTCTGACCCATCTCTGTTATAAAGTTCATTTCCAACCAAGCAGTGGTTTCTTTATACCTTCTTGATGAAGGGCATTTGGGCAAATTCAGAGCCATCTTGATATATGCTCACCAATTTTAAGTTTCAGTAAACATTTTAGATTTTATCAACAATTTTAGAGAAGATTTTAAAAGCCCACCCTCCTGTTGTTTTTGGTGTTAAGAATAGTCCTTTACTCGATAGGTGTCCCCCATTTAATTTCTCTAGTGTAGAAGGACACAAATATTTTTTACATTATTTTCTTTACTAATTTTTTTTTTTAATTTGAGCTGATTGGGTTCTTAAAATTCAATTTAAAATAACAGCTCTTCACTGCTGTGCTAAACTGGTACCTGGCCAGGTTCCTTTTGCTTGGCTTAGTTTTATTGTTTATGCATCAATGACTCCTCTTTATGACTGCAGTAGAATTCAGCAATCAATATGCTTTGGCTGAAGGAGGGAGAGTGGTTGCTTTTAGGTGACTGAAGTCATTCAGTGATTAGCTTTATCCTGCAAACCTCTCCAGGGAAGAAAATAATATTCCCGTCAAGAAATTTGTCTTAGCCTTAGCTGGTTCGCCTTAGTAGATAGCCCATGGACTGAAGAGTTTTGGGTTCAATTCAGGTAAAGGGCACACACCTAGGTTGCAGGCTGAATCCCTGGCCTTGGTTGGGGTGCATGTGGGAGACAACCAATTAATGTGTCTCTCACATCAATACTCCTTTCTTTTCTCTCTCTCCCCCCTTCCATTCTCTCTAAAAGTCAAAGGAAAAATATCCTCAGGTGAGGATTAACAACAACAACAACAACAACAACAACAACAACAAAACACGGCAAAGAAAAGAACTTTGTCTTAGGTATCCCCCCTTCCCCAAGAGAAATAAAGTGTTGGCTGAGGACAAAGAGCATAACTAAGCCAGTAAAAAAAAAATAATGGAGTATTTGATTTTTGATTAATCCATCAAAAAGATAAAAGATATTTGGTAGTTTTAATCAATGCTATACCAGCTCATTTGTAGATTGTAAATTATAATCTACTAGAGGCTCGGTGCACGAAATTCATGCGCTCGGGGAGGGAGGTCCCTCAGCCCAGCTTGTGCCGCCTCATATTCTGGGATCCTGGGATCCCTGGATTCACAGGGGGAGCGGGCCTAAGCTGTCAGTTGGACATCTTTAGTGCTGCTGCGGAGGTGGGAGAGGCTCCTGCCACTGCTGCTGTGCTTGCCAGCCATGAGCCAGGCTTCTGGCTGAGTGGTGCTCTGGTCGTGGGAGCACATTGACCACCAGGGGGCAGCTCCTGCATTGAGTGTCTGCCCCCTGGTGGTCAGTGAGCGTCATAGTGACCAGTCATTCCATCGTTTGGTCGATTTGCATATTAGCCTTTTATTATATAGGGTACAGCTGGCAAAACCAGTGACTTACAGGCAGTGCAGGTTGTTCCTTAAAGTCATGTATGTCATCTAAGGTAATAGTCTGAGGTTGAACAGGTAAGCCTGGGGAGATGGATGTGCCCGCAGTTCCAAGCAAGAATCATCAGTAAATGAACTTTCATCCCCAGCATTGATAAATAAATAATTGTTGGTTTACTCCCACTGAAGACTAATCTTATTTTTTTTTTTTAAGGGAGCACTTATTTATTTATTTTAAAAAGTCTTTTTAAAATTATTTTTTTTATTGATTTCAGAGAGGAAGGGAGAGGGATAGAAAGATAGAAACATCAATGAAAGAGAATCAATTGGCCGCCCACCCCCCACCATGCCCCTTACTGGGGGGGGAGGGGGAGAGGGAGATGGAGCATGTGCCCTTGGCCGGAATTGAACCTGGGACCATTCAGTCCACAGGCCGACATTCTAGCTACTGAGCCAAACCAGCTAGGGCTGAACACTAATCTTAATCAGTCTTATGTCTACCAGATGGCCCTAAAAATGATGAGAGATAATAAAGAATAGACACCGGATGCTGCAATACTTTAGAGCAGGAAAGCGAATAAACACTTCATTGCTCCTTGGTGGAGTGGGAGAGGACGGGTGGTGACAAGTGTCGCCTGGAAGAGAGGAGCTTGTTTTCATGGCTTTGTTTTTGGAAATGCTTTTATAACTAGTTAATCATGGCTTTATAACGGGACACATTTGTGAGCTGTGAAAACTGCTATTTTTTAGATGATACACTAAGGACTACTGGGAAGTAACTGATTTTTTTTTTTTATTAAGGATATGAAGGAAACAGTGTATGAGTTCTAACATGCTCATTTGTTTCTTTAAAGCCCCACGGAGGACAGACGGATGTGACAGCTTTTTCTATAAGGGCACCCTCCTCTGTATCGTGATTGGATGAGGTAGTGTTTGCAAAGCTCGCAGCACTGTGCCTGGAATCCAAATGACGGCCATTAATTATTGTTATTATTGCGCCTGTGGGGATGCTCGTAGGAGCAGGTACCCACCTGCAGGCCTACATGGTGTGTCTGCAGAGGGGCTGGGGACGGTCCCTCACACTGCGATGGAAGATGCACTCTCGGGCCCCTGTGCTCTATTAAATGCAAGTATCTCCTTAGCAGTCCTGTGTGCCTTGGTCCGCCTAAGCTGATTAGATCTCTTCAGAAGAGTGGTGTCAAGAGTAGGAAAAAAGTGCAAGTACAAAGCTCCTGGCAACTCTGAGTGAAGGGACTGAACACAAAACCTGAGGGACAAGAACGGGCCCAGGAGCTTCATTAAAGATTCAGCAACCTGGGAGATCCAAGATGGCTGCGCCCAGGTGAACACCTAGCCGCAGCCGCACACAACAATTTCAATAAAATACAACTAAAATATAAAACGGACATTGCCCAGAACTACAGGAAGGTTGACTGACTGGAAATTCTACAGCGAGAAGCAAGGAGAAAACCAGAAGGAAGCGCGGAGGAGCTGGAAAAGCCCAAGGTACGGAGACGCAGCAGGCAGAGAGGAGGGAGGCCGAGTGCCTGGCGGGCGTTCCCTAGCGGAAAGGAGATAAAACTCCGACTGTGCTGGGCCCCCGACTGCTCTGAACCCCAGTTCTAGGCCAGACCCCAGGGACTCAGGCTCAGCCATAGGGAGCCGGGCTGTAAGGCGGAACCCCAGGGAGAGGCGAAAGGAGGTCCCGGAGGCACGCACACTGCGCGCAGAGAAGGGAAGGTCTGCTGTGCCGCGGGATTGCCCTGACGGGAAGGAGACTGGGGCTCCAGACTGCTTTAAACGCCACCTCCAACTCCACTTCCAACTGAACTGAACCCCAATACCGGGCTCATTGGGGGAGAGCATAGACTGTTCGGCAGCAGGCGAAAATCAAGGGCACCTTTCTCTCAGAGGCACCGGCAGCAGCGAGCACAGAAGGACCCGCATAGGGCGGGGCTGACGGAAGCCAAAGCTGCAGGCTCCACCCTGAAACCCCGTCCCATCTGTAACTGCGAAATGAGACAACAAAATAGATCACAAACGAAAGAAATGGAGGACAAAAAGCGTCTGGATATAGAGTTCAAATCTACGCTTATAAGGTTTTTCAAGAATTTCCTAGAAAAGATGGATAAGAAAAGAGATCAACTAGAATTAATAAGGAGTCAACAAGAAATGATAAGGGATCAACAAGAAATAAAGAATACATTGTCTGAAATAAAAAATATTTTACAGAGTCCTAAAAACAGAAGGGAAGATCGCAAGAATCAAGTCAAAGAGGTGGAACATAAAAAGCCAGAAGACACTCCTCCACAGAAGCTAGAAGGCAAGAGAATCCAGAAAATTGAAGATAATGTAAGAAACCTCTGGGACAACTTCAAGCGAACCAACATCAGAATTATGGGGGTCCCAGAAGATGAGAGAGAGCAAGATATCGAAAACATACTGAAAGAAATAGTGACAGAAAACTTCCCCCACCTGGTGAAAGAATTAGACTTACAAGTCCAGGAAGCGCATAGAACTCCAAACAAAAGGAATCCAAAGAGGACCACACCGAGACACATCATTATTAAAATTCCAAGAGCAAAAGACAAAGAGAATATTAACAGAAGCAAGAGCAAAGAAGGTAGTAACCTATAAAGGAGCACCTATACGATTGTCAGCTGACTTCTCAACAGAAACCATGCAGGCCAGAAGGGAATGGCAAGAAATATTCAAGGTGATGAATAGCGAGAACCTACAGCCAAAAATAATCTACCCAGCAAAGCTATCACTCAGAATCGAAGGCCAGATAAAGAGCTTCACTAATAAAAAAAAACTAAAGGAGTTCATCACCGCCAAACCAGAATTATATGAATTGCTGAAGGGGGTTCTTTCAGAAGAGAAAGTAAACAAAGATAAAAATTATGAACAACAAATACGTAACTATCAACAAGTGAATCTAAAAACCAAGGAAATTTAAAAAATCTGAGGAACAATATTAACTGTTGAATATAATAGAATCAGAGGTATGGAAGGGGAGTGAACTGACGATTCTTGGGGAAAAGGGGAGAGGAGGGCGTGGGAAGAGACTGAACATAAACTGTGCACCTATGGATGAGGACAATGGGGAGAGGGGAAAGGGCAGAGGGTGGGGTGGGAACCTGGTGGAGGAGAGCAATGGTGGGGGGTGGAAAAAAAGGAACATTTGTAATAATATGAACAATAAAAACTTATTAAAAAAAAAAAAAAGATATACCACACACACACAAAAAAAAGATTCAGCAACCTGGTGTCAGGCTATGTCTCACCTGCTCCTCAGAGCTGGCGGAGCAGCCCCTGCCTCAGACGCTGCCTGTGCAGGGATTGGGACGTGCTTTGGGAAGCTGCCCAGGGCACGGTTGGCTCCAGGGGCAATTGAACTGTAGACAAGTTCAAGAGAGGCCTCTTGGGCCTCACGGGCACGTGCTCCATGTTTCTCACGTTTTGAACCCTCTGAGCTAACGTTCTGCCTGGGTTTCATGTTGGACCAACCCTCTCCCTTGATTTTCCGATAAGGCCTACAGGTATTAGCAAACATTACAAAAGAACACATTAAGCCCAGCCAGCATGGCTCAGTGGTTGAGCATTGACCTATGAACCAGGAGGTCACGGTTCGATTTCCGGTCAGGGCACTTGCCGGGGTTGTGGGCTTGATCCCCAGGGTTGGGGGTGCAGGAGGCAGCCAATCAATGATTCTCATCATTGATGTTTCTATCTCTCCTCTCCCCCTCTCTCTTCATCTCTGAAATCAACTAATATATATGTAGAAAAATAAGAACATGTTAAGAGTGAATTGAGCTAAGTCCCATATGATTTTACATATGTTTGCCAGAGGGAAGGGGTAGGGGATGTAAGAAGTCTTAATATAAGGTGAAGGGAGAAGAATTGTCTTTGGATGTGAGCACACAGTGCAAATCTTGTAATGTGGAAACCTACACCTGAAACCTGTATGATCACATTAACCAATGTCCCCCTAATAAATTTAATATAAATAAAAATAGAAGCCAAATTATAAGCTAAAAAAGGTGAGTAGAATAATTTGGGCAGGGTAGGGCAGGCAGGAGAGGTGGTGGTGGTGGTGGTGGTGGTGGATTGTACTTAAATGAAATAACAGGTCACCTCTTAGAAAGACAGATGCTAAAAAGGCTGAATACTTCCTCAGTAACAATATCACCTTTATCTCTCACAAGGAGTGAAAAATCTCACCTTCCAAAAGGACCTTTTCCAGAAAACCACTGCTGAAATATTTAGTTGTCCCTGGCCTGTCCCCCACAGCAGGCTAATGAGGACAGTTGGTTGACCCTTAAAAGACACTGGGAAGGCCTGGCCGTGAGGAGATGGCATGTAAGGCCGGCTGGAAAAGAACAGGGAGCGTGGCTGGTTCCCACGATCCCCAGAGGACCACCAGGACATAGAAGCTCTCACAGAACAAAGGAGACAGGTATTAAATGAGTGTCTTGGGTCCTAAAGGAAAAGTGAGGATTTGGGGACAGACATGAGTATAAAAGTTATCTTTCTTTTTTTAAAATATATTTTACTGATTTTTTACAGAGAGGAAGGGAGATAGAGAGTTAGAAACATCGATGAGAGAGAGTCATCAATCAGCTGCCTCCTGCACACCCCCTACTGGGGTTGTGCCTGCAACCAAGGTACATGCCCTTGACCGGAATCGAACCCGGGACCCTTCAGTCTGCAGGCTGACACTCTATCCACTGAGCCAAACTGGTTTTGGCTTCCTTCCTTCCTTCCTTCCTTCCTTCCTTCCTTCCTTCCTTCCTTCCTTCCTTCCTTCCTTCCTTATTTTTAAATATGTTTTTATTAATTTCAGAGAGAGAAAGGGAGATAGAAACATTGAATGGCTGCCTCCTGCATGCTCTCTACTGGGGATTAAGCCCAAAACCCAGGCCCTGACCAGAAATTGAACCTTGGCTTCCTGGTCCAGGCCTCTTCTTCCTCCTCCTTCCCCTCCTCCTTCTCCTTCTCCTCCTCCTCCTCCTCCTCCTCCTCCTCCTCCTCCTCCTTTCTTCTTCTTTTTTTTTTTAAACTACGTATCCATTTGCCAGCTTGATATGTATATAGGACAGACACAGTGGAGAGTATCATCTTTAAAAAAACAGTATCTGCACACATCAATATTTATCACAGAGCCTAGGCATTTTTCATTTTTGCCGGTGAAGAAATAAATAAGGCATTCTTTTTAAAGCAAACATATTGCACAATATTACATTTTCATGCAAGATTTTATGTAATGTGAAATATATTATTTCATGCAGCAAAAGAAATAAACTCAAGAATACACTGAAATGATAAAGATGATGAAGAAACGAGAAAATGAAAGATAAACAGGGTGAGTATAAAAGGATTTATGAGAAAAAAATACTCTCAATACAAAAAGCTTCCCCAAACTATGATCCCAAATTATCAACTAAGCCTGCCATGCTTTTGATATGGGCCTTGGAGAACTGAAGATAAATTAGAAATATACCAAAGCACAAAAAGAATCCTTTATTATCTTCTTACCTAGGAATGCTGCCATGTTCATGACTTGACTAAACACACAGCTTGCAGGAGGTTGGTCACCTGCAATACTTGAAAAATATGAAATTTTTTATTATTATTACTGTGCTAAAGTCTATAACCTACAAAGGACTAAAATTTGTGTGCTGAAATCCTAATTCCCAATAAAATAGCATTAGGAGGTAGGACCTTTGGGGGTCATTAGGTCATGAGGGTGGAGTCCTCATGAATGGGAGTAGTGCCCTTACAAAAGGGACCTTGCTTGTCCTCTCTCCATCCTGTGAGGATCCAGTGAGAAGATGCTAGTCTGTAACCCAGAAGAGGGCTCTCATGCTGGCACCCTGACCTTGAACTTCTAGCCTCCAGACTATTAGTGTGTGAAATAAATATGTGACTTATAAGCCACCCATTCTATGCTACTTTGGTAAGTAGCCCAAATTAAGCCACTGCCCCTGTAACCTTTTCATAGATGAGAAGAGAATTATCAAGTTACCTTATATATGGTGCATGCTTCACACCAGGTTTCCTGGAAAACAGAAAACATAGAGGTTCAGGTTAAGTACAGTCATCTGTGCACAGTTTAACCTCACCAACTGTTAGGTCTATTGGTGAAAAATGAATCACCCAGAGATAAACCTACCTTTCAGCTGAATTTAATGGGAAAATTTTGTCATCTTCCACAGCTATAAAGTATCTATGAAAGAAAAATAAATGTTTATAAAACTAAAAAAATTTATAAAACAAGAATCATTTGTTTCCAGTTTTATTAAGACTAATCACATTAAATCCTATTCATTTTTCCCTACCTAGGAAAATGCTCTTTTACTCTAATGCTTTTTACCTTTAGATCATATAGTTCTTTGAAGTTCAAATGTCATTTTTTCCCCCCACTTTTATTTTTATTTTTTTGCTAGCTGTACTCGGCCACGCATTGCTGTGGCTCAGTCTTGTTAAACAGAAAAGAAAGAAAAGAGAAAACACATGTTTCTAATATGTTTAATTTCACAATGCTTGTGGGTATGCAATATTTTTGTTGTTGTTCCCTTGTCTGTGCAGATATAGAGATTGTTTGGTTTGCCGACTCTAGGACATGCAACATATAATTGTCCATGTAAGAAGCAATCCGTGTCTAGATCTAAACGGCACAATACTAAAGATTGGCCCTGAGCTTTGTTGATGGTTATTGCAAACGCCAATCGAATTGGGAATTGCCAATCTCTTAAATTGAAATGACATACCCGTTATAATCATAGGAATGAGAATGAGGACATCTTCACCTTTGAAAGATCCTGTCAAAATTTTTGTTTCTACGACATTGGTTATTAATTTTTTTACTGCCAGCTGCATGCATTGCAAAGCTTTGGCTGGTTGATATTTCTCAACATGATAATTAACATGCCAATTTTCAATTGCAGTACATGCGGTGGCATCCCTGGCAGACTGAGACGGTCTTGTATGTGACTGCCTCGGTTTGAATGTTAGACTGAATAATATTGTTAAGTTCATAGATGTCTTTGTTATTGGCTGTAAGAATAGCTTGTTCGCTCAGCCAATTGTGATTTTTATAATTGGTTTGAATATTGGGAAGTACTTTTTCAACCAATTCTTCTTTTGACATCACTAAATTGCATAAGTTATGAGGCAATGAAATTTGTCCTGAGGTCAGATCAACTGGCACCTTTCTGTTCCCAATTTCCAGCAATTAATGTGAGAATATCTCAGCTGATTGATCATTTTGCAGCTGGACACACATATTTGTAGTTAATTTTAACGTCTTTACATGTTGCCACAAAGTAGAGTATTTCAGGCAAGCATTTATTTCATCCATTGGTGTCGAAATATCATTCTTAATAATATTAATTTAATTTTCAAAACATCCCCCAAATTAATGGAAATAATTATAAGGTGAAAACTGGAAATGGAAGAAATGAGACCTTACATCTTTGGGCAAACTAAAATTCGAATTCAAATTTTCTAATTTCTCACTTCACCTTTCTTAACGACTGCAAGGAACTAAAATAACCTTCTACAAGTGAACAGTAATTGAAATAAGCAAGAATGGGAACATTTTGTGATAAGACAGGACTTCCAATGTAATGATACTCATTGTATAAACATATCAGACCCAGTCACACAAAAACCACTGCTTCTGCCTGCCAGCCTGATCACCCCCTAACCACTCTCCTGCCAGCCTGATTGATGCCTAACAGCTCCCCTGCCAGCCTTATTGCCCCCAACTGCCCTCCCCTGCAGGCTTGGTCCCCACCAACTGCTCTCCCCTGCAGGCCCAGTTGCCCCCAACTTCCCTCCTCTGCTGGCCTGGTTACCCCTAACTGCCCTCCCCTTCAGGGTTGATCGCCCCCAACTGCCCTCCCTTGCAGGCCTGGTCCCTCCCAACTGCCCTCCTCTGCTGGCCATCTTGTGGCAGCCATCTTGTTTCCACATGGGGGCAACCATCTTTGACCACATGGGGGAAGCTATCTTGTGTTTTGGAGTGATGGCCAATTTGCATATTATTCTTTTATTAGATAGGATTCCTCTAGATATGCCATAGGCTATCAAAATCACATTGTTATCTACATTGCACCTCAGTTCTTAAATAATAAATAAGAGGATACTTACACTATCCACAATCCAGCCGAAGTAAATAAAGTAAATACAAGAGGTAAAAACATCCATACGCTGCATTTCTTCCCATCCATTCCTGTTCCACTGAAAGAGAATGAACAGGTATTAGTAACAAAGACAAAATGTATCTGACTCAGGACAGATAGGAAGTTTACTTTCATTGAAAAAGAGTGCATTTTATGAAACCACTAGAGGCCCAGTGCACAAAATTCATGCATGGGGGGGGCGGAGGGGGGACAGAAGGGGTGTGGTAGGAGTCCCTCAGCCCAGCCTGCACCCTCTCATAATTTGGGACCACTCGCTCCTGCTTGCTCACTTGCCTGCCTGCCTGATCACCCCTAACCATTCGCCTGACTGCCTGATTGTCCCTAACTGCTTCTGCCTGCCTGATGCCCCTAACTGCTTGCCTGCCTGCCTGATTGCCCCTAACCACTCTTCCTGCCTTCCTGATCGCTCCTACCTGCTGGTCTGCCTGCCTGATTGCCTCTAATTGCCTCTGCCTTGGCCCCCACTGCCGGCTTCATCCAGAAAGTCATCTGGAATGATGTCGGAAGGTTGTTTGGCTCTCTGGTCTAATTAGCATATTATGCTTTTATAGTTATAGATGGTTCTACATTACAACCACCTACATGAGAAATCCTTGCACAGGTAACATGGATGATTGTTATCCTGCATTAGCTCAGATATTCCAGAATCTTCGTTGAGAACTAGTAGAAAATTTCTAATTATGACATTATTTAAGAAACAACAAAAGGGTTTTGGTTAGGACTTGGAGGAGAAGGTTTTGTGTTAGGACTAGGTACAAAGACAAACTCAAACACACTTTTAGTGCTATTAACATTTATGGATCTATGGGTCCAGCATGTACATACGTTTATAGCTTAGCTAATAAGAATATTAGAAACAAATGGTTATAAAATAAATTAGCAACTTGGGAGGAAATGACAAATGCAAATCTGAATTTTTCTCACAAAGTTATTGAACAACAATCTCAGTAGACACTCAAATGAATGACTTGGAAAATATGTTGTGTGTAACTTTAAATTAGTTCCTACAAACACAATGGGGGATGGGGTGAAGGGGAAAGCCATATGCTAGGCATTTTGGATGTTATATTTTAAAGCAAAAATATATAAATAAACCCCCTCCCACCAAAATAAAGTGGAAAGCAGAGCTTCAGAGGTGCCTATGAAAAATGATTGATAGAGAACAGAAAGAAACAGCTATCACTTTACTTCTTTGCCCAAAACCATAAGAGAAAAATCTATTTGAGACACTGGATGCCAACAATCTTAAGGCAAAAAATACTGGTTCCTGGAAAATAAAATTCCCTCGTGATTTCCACAGGTGACCTGACAGGCAGAAGGATATGGGATTACATAGAACCTCTAGGGAGAAATTGCTGCTCATTGTTTTGGGTTTTATAATTAACTGGGGAAAGTCGTTTACTGGGGTTTGAACCAGTTCTGTCAACATTTCTGGTCATTTCCATGGTATCTACTTCCATAATGCTGATATTTCAAGTGTTGAGAACAGAGAGAGAACATGACCCCCCTGTTAGTATGGAGCCTAAGGTGCCAGGAAGGTCTGGCACTGAGGCCGGCTTTGCCCAGGCAGGTACCCAGAACCCAGGTTTTGTCAGGAAGGACATCCAGTCTATCTGGTCTAATTAGCATATTGCCCTTTTATTAGTATAGATTGATTGCAAGTGTTTTTAAAGCTGGGGCTTGGGGGAAGCCACCTGGGGTCCTGGGTGCTTGCAGTTGTGGCTGACCTGGGAAAAGCCGGCCCGGGGTTCTGGGTACCTGCCTGGGCAAAGCTGGCCTCAGTGCCAGGTGCCTGTGGCCGCCAGAGGGAGAGAAGCCCAGGTCTTGGGTGCCTGCATATGGCAAGAGGGAAGAAAGCCTGGGTACTGTGTGCAGGGGCCGAGGCAGAGGTGGTTAGGGGTGATTAGGCAGGCAGGCAAGCAGTTAGGAATCAGTGGTCTTGGATTGTGAGAGGGTGCAGACTGGGCTGAGAAACCCCCCTTCCATGCACAGATTTTGTGCACTGGGCCTCTAGTTTAATATTATCTAATTCATTGCAATTCACAAGAATGCCACCTACTTGTGCCAGGTACTATAATTTAGAGTGTTGGAAATATTTAAGTGAGATCTAATGAATACAATATATAAAAACTAGTGTATGAATTATGATTACTCAGAGTATGTAGTGTGGACAAATGATAACTATTCTAAGCATACAGAATTTAGTTGAGTGAGTGTCCATTTATTTATGTCCAGAAATCATTATGCTAAAATAGTCCCATCAGTTAGCTAAGTTGTAGAGGAAGTATAGAAAGCTGTTGACTGAGCATGTAAACCAAATTATTCTGGACCTGCCCCTGAAATAGGCTGCTCCAACAGGATGAGCACAGCTGAAATAGTTACATTGGAATAAGAGTTAGGACACCAAGGTCTCAACCTTAGCTTTGCCCGTAACTGACTCAATGCACCTGAGCAAGTTACTTAAATCTGTAACACCATTTCCCTACTCACTGCATGAAGACTGTTGAAATCAAAGAGAGGGAGACAGACGGAGGCCTCACAGGGTGATGTGCTTGTAGGCTAAGCCAAGTTCAGTAGCATATCTTTGCATAACAGAGTGCCCCATATGCCCAAAGTGATCAGCCCCAGAAGAACTCATGCCTATAAACCATTTTAAAAACAGACTGGTGAATAAACAGCAATGCCAACTTATTTATGTACACCGAGAAACACAACTGCCAAATGGACAGATACATTGGCTCCTCTTTTAGGAGCGTCTATATGGGAAATCAGAATTTGGAATCAGGAAAATATCGGGTCTAGTAATAATTAATGTCGTTTTTAAACATTCGTTTAAAATCTTGCTTGGCGTTGACTTGTATTGACATAACTTTCAAACACGTGGTATCTACAGAACGTGTGAAGTGCAATTAACAAGTTTTGCTTGAAAAAGTTTGTGTTTGGTTTGGTTTTTGTTGCAAAACTAGGGCTAAGAAGATGGCGGATGAAGAGCATATTCGGCACTGCATGCTTTACGAGTTCCAATTAGGAAGAAAAGCAAGTGAGGCTGCAAAAAACATCTGTAGTGCTCTTGGTCAAGATGCAGTTAGCGCCAGAAAATGCCAGCATTGGTTTGAGAAATTTCGCGAGGGAAATTTTTCGTTAGATGACAAGAGTGGTCGAGGCCGTGTGTCCAATTTTGATCAAGAAGCTCTTCAAGCTCTTTTGGTGCAAAATCCTCAAATTACCCAACAAGAGCTTGCGACAACTTTAAATTGTTCACAAAATACAATTTCCAATCAATTGCGTGCACTTGGCAAAGTCCAAAAGTTTGGAAAATGGGTTCCTCATGAGTTGACCGACAACAACCGTAATCAAAGAGTCACAATTTGCATTTCGCTCCTCTCTCGTCAAAACCGTTTGCCGTTTTTAGAGCAAATTGTTACCGGAGATGAACAATGGGTGCTGTATGTTAATTTGAAAAAGCGGCCTCAATGGTTGGACAAAAATGAGGCTCCGCAGCCCAAGCCAAAACCTGACTTGCATGCGAAAAAAGTGATGTTGTGTGTTTGGTGGAATTTTAAAGGAATTCTTCATTATGAACTTTTACCATCTAACCAAACCATTACAAGTGCAGTGTATAGTGCCCAATTGGAAAGGTTAGCCCAAGCTTTAAGAGAAAAAGAACCCAACCCGCGCTGATTAATCGGAAGGGCGTAATTCTTCACTACGATAACGCACGACTGCATACTGCAAGAATCACTGCTGAAAAACTGCGCCAGTTGGAATGGGAAGTTCTCCCTCAACCTGCATATTCTCCTGATATTACCCCTTCCGATTACCATTTGTTTTGTTCTTTGCAAAACTTTCTTCTTGGAAAAAAATTTAATAATGAAGAATGCCTCAAAAATGCATTGACCGAATTTTTTGCATCAAAATCACAAGAATTTTACAACAGAGGGATTAAAATGCTTCCTGAGTGTTGGGCACAAGTAGTAGAAAACAACAGCAACTATATTGTTGATTAAATTTTGTTGTATTGTTTAAATAAATTAGATTTAAAAAAGTATTAGAAAACGACATTAATTATTACTAGACCTAATAGAGCTCATGTGTCAAACACAAGGCCCGCGGGCCAAATCCGTCCCGCCAGGCCTTGCAATGTGGCCCGCACCGCGCTGTCATCACTGCACTCCGCTGCGTTTCCATCACAATGACAGTTTATGACTGTTCAGTAAACCATTCGGCCCGCGATTTAGGCTGGATTTTAGATTTTGGCCCCTTCTCTGATTGAGTTCGACACCCCTATAATAGTGAAGAGAGTTGAGATAATTCTAAGACCATGACATCAAGTTACAATAGCTTTATGCGCTAATTTACTTTAGAGGAAGCAGCATGGTGTAATGGGAATGGGATGGCAATGCGCAGGATCAAAACCCAGTCCTGCAGAGCTTTAGCTGTCTGATCTCTAACAAGTTATTTCATTTCTTAAGCTTAATTATGGAGATAACTGCCACTTTGCCTTTACTTATTGCATAGACTGTTACATAAAAATAGTTGTATTAGGAGGGGAATGGAAGGGGGTAAATGGGAGATACCTGTAAGCTTCAGTGTGTTGTCTGAGATTAATGATGAACATCATTAATAATAATTAATTAATCATTATTATTAAATATCAATAATTAATTATTATTAAGGTAAGACTGCATACATACTATTAACACAAGTTCCATAAGTGGCAGCTCTGCCACCACTAACTCTAAGGACAATGTTAGGACGAGGTCCTCTCCCTCCAAAGCAGGGCTCAGGACAGACGGACACTTTCTTCTCTGGGCTCCTGCTTTTCCAGGATGCAGACACCCTTCCTGGTAGGAAGTTTCTTTCTTCAGATGGCTCTCCCCAAAAATGAGTGAATACCTTTAACTGCACACATATGAAGACCTACCTTCCTCAGATTCTTCTCTATGGGTACTTTCCACTATGCATTGCTTTTCTCATTTTTTTGTGAAAGCATTTAATGACTACTCTCCTTAATTATTTTATTATTGTTAGTTTCATTCTCATACATCAACCTCATCCCCAAATTCTGGA